GCAACCCACTTCTGGATCATCTGCCAAGAACGTATATGAACAGGTCCCAGTCCGAGAAAAGGATGGAAGGATCCTGTTCATATGGACCTGTCGTCAGACAAAACACTACAAATAAAAATAAACGCTGATGATTCAGTAATGTTACCTATGCTGTTTCGACTCGACTGTACTTGAAATAATTGTTTCATGGAAGTTTACACCTCTCATTGTAGGCTGATCTGGAGGTCATTCTCGTGTTTTGGAAGGGCGTTATACAGAAAGTAATGCTTAGTTAGCAGTTTTGTTGTTGTACTGATTGCTGGAATTGGTGACCCACGAGGAAACATGAATTACCTGACGTCATTTGTCATAACATGATATGCGATGTTAATACCTCGGTGTTAACAGAACTTGAAAGTCATCAAGTCAATATACCGGATCTAGTCGACGTTACAAACATTCCTTGTTGTGGGAAATTGTCATATTGAAGTGGTCAGTAAACATTTCGAGTAGAAAAAAATATGTGCCGATTGACTAAGTGGGTTTTCAAGGAAGTGTCTGGTCCACGTGTGGTCCTCTGGGTTACACGTGGGGTGTTTGGCTTCACGATCCCCATTATAAAATTTTGTAGTTATGAAATGTTACTAAGGGGCTCTGATTAGAACAGGTTATCTCGCGATACTGTAGGAGAGGTCTATTTGAAAAGATGGAGGATAATGTATTTCTTAGGGGGGATTTTTGAGCACGTGTCTAAACCTCGGGTGACCCTGGGAATGTATTAGAACAATTGCGACCTCTGATTGGTGTGTTTAACGGGCGCCGTAATTATGCTGATAACTGTGTAAACTTTATCAAGAACATTTTGCAATGTCGTTCTCACATTTTCTTAATCATTTGTGCAAATAAAGTAGAAAAATCGTAATAAACAACATGTGACTCATTTTAAGAAGGCTTAATTTTGTTTCAAGAGGAAAAAATAATTAAGTACTTATACATCGACATTCTGAACCTACAAAGTTCGTTCACAAATGTAGACCGTGTTCCTATTTCTACGCAATGGTTTCTTATCTTCAGGTTTTTTTAACTTAAATGTATTTAAATTAATTATTCGGTTTTGTCCGTCTAATCACAATTATATTTAAAATTTAAAATTTACAAATAAGATAATTAAATTATCATTTTATGTTCCACATCGATTTACAAATCGATTATTCGATGTGGAACATAAAATGATAATTTAATTATCTTATTTGTAAATTTTAAATTTTAAATATAATTGTGATTAGACGGACAAAACCGAATAATTAATTTAATATTTGATTCACAATATGACGCAATTATACTATTAAATGTATTTGTTATTGTTTCCATGCGTGCTACAGCACTTCTCCAAACCCATCACTCTTGATTTAATGACCCTAATATCATATCAATAATACCGATATAAAATTTGAGATTTGCTCAACAGTCATATCTTGCATCCTACTAAATTTAAGGGAAATCTGTTGAATATTTTTGTATATGAAAAACACGGTTTGTGAGACATAATATCACTTACCTTTTTTTTTTTTCATTTGTTTCATGCAAAGAACTCGTAGTTGGTGACCGTAGGGAGATTTTGTTTGAATTTTGTTAGTACGGTGTGGGGAAAATACTTTGGCTATCCACCAAGTTCATGCTTCAGCGTTTTAACCGAGCTGAAATATGCGCTGTTACGTAATCTGACTTTAAATTCTGATGTCATCCATGTCACCGCATGCATAACTTGGTTGATCGTGCATCACGAAAAGCCAAGTGATCGGTTGATGCTGTGTGCTACAGACTGCCAGTCCGTCCGCTACTTTCAGAAACGTTTGGGTTTCCCTGGGACATTCAGAGGCGTCGCTTATCGAGAGTGAGTGGAATAGCGAAATGTAATGTAATTAAGACAATCTCTGAGAATTTTTATTTATTTATTTTTTTGGTGAGGGGGGGAACCGGTTTTGCGGATACCCCGACGCTGAAGTTCATCCACGACCTACTGGATACCTGATTCGGGGGATGTACCAAAGCGTGACCTGATTTTTAACACGGATAAATCCAGTCTTCGTACAATATGCGATTTCCTAAACCAAGATTTCTCTCAATGATTAACTGAAAGTTAGGGGATTTCCTTTTGTGTATTTCGTTTCTGTTGGGACTTTTCGCGAAGAAACGTCCGTCACAATTTATCCGTGGATGTACGCGTGTGGAACGTGGCCTGAAACCAAAGGCAGAACACAGAGAAAGTGTGTATTTGTGATCTAAAGCTTTCACGGTGAGTAACATTAATATAATCTTCCCCGGCTGTCAGAGCGGTGGTGCCGAAACGTCGGTGATTTTTAACCAGCTGACACGGGTAAGTAGCCCGAAATTATTTTATTTTTAGAATTGAGGGTTCGATTGACAATCCGTCTACACAAAAATTATTATTAAGAATCCACTACATGTTTCGACTTTAATTTTGGTATCTTCAGGTGGTTTTCATTAAGTGTTCGAAACTAATATGTATAGATATGTTAATTTGTTTGCATGTTTTCTGTTCATAAGATGGTAAAGTTGCGTCATATTGTGATATAATAAGTATATATTAAATCTTAAATATTGTGATTAGACAGACAAGATTTAATAATATATAATATATATGTTTTCTGTTGCTAATTTCACCACGTAATAGACTATCTTAAGCAGCTGACGTATTTTAGTGGAGTTGGCTATGTAGATGTGGTTACCAGTCGAAAGCTATAGATACAAACTGAAATAAAGGAAGAAGTTTTAGGGTTCCGGCGCTAATTTGTACCCACAGAGAGACGAAATGTGAGGTCAGGAGAAAATTACATAATGAGGATCTTTATAATGTGCACTCGACACCAGTTTTTTTTTTATTAAGAGTTTGGGTG